ACCGATCCTCCGTGCTGGAATCCCTCTGCTTTGCCCTCTGCACCCCTGTTGCTGCACTCTCCTCCAGGGCTCCGAGGCTTTCCCCCTGCCCACCCCCATCTCCACCAGTGAAGGGGCTTCCTAGTGTGTGGAAACCTTTCCTCCTTCACAGCTCCCTCCCACTGGTGCAGGTCCCTTCCCTATTCTTTGTCTCTGTTTTTTCTTTTTTCTTTTGCCCTACCCAGGTATGTGGGGAGTTTCTTGTCTTTTGGGAGGTCTGAGGTCTTCTGCCAGCGTTCGGTAGGTGTTGTGTAGGAGTTGTTCCACGTGTAGATGTATTTCTGATGTATTTGTGGGGAGGAAAGTGATCTCCACGTCTTACTCCTCCACTATCTTGAAAGTTCCCCCCCGCCACCACCCCCGTCCCTAGTTTTTAACAAATGCCTTCAAGGAGCAGGAGGAGGAAAATACGAACAAGTCTTAGTTCTTGTACTGGACCAGTGTACAGCAGGAGCTCATTTCTCTTATCCATCATGTGTAGAAAATTACCTTCTGATGGTTTTGTACTTGTGTGGCTATTACACATTCCATCTCAAATCCTTTCCTAAGATGGCTAGCACGAGCTCAGCATCTTGATCTCCCTTTCTTCTGACTACAGAATTCACCAGCTGTGTCTGTTATTGTCCAGACAGCTGCCAAGTATATCCATCCATTTGGTTTGTAAATCATCTTCATAATAGAAGAAACAAATCTTTCAGAATGTTTTTATTTATTCACCCAACCATCTCTTTGTTCCAACCATGACCTACCTGAACCAATCCCTTTCGCCATAAAGACATAGTGTTATGTCTTTTATGACGGTGGAAACCCGCTTACCTCCTTCCCACCCATGTGTCTACAAACCCCTTTTACAGATAAACATTCTTCTAATTTAGCCAAAGAAGTAAAAAGAGGAAGGAGGTATAATATATGCCATGCAGCTCTTGAAAAGAAACAGTAATAAAGGTACTAATATTTGTAGAAAGCTCTAGAGCCATCCCATTTCCGAAATTACTACTTACAGGATATTCATGCTACTGTTAAAGAAGCAGAAATCTTTATCTGCTAATAATAATAATAATAAAGCCCATCTAGGACAAACCACAGCCTGCTGCCAGAGGACTGTGGCAGTCTTAACAAATTTTCCAGAACATAAGATGCCAGCAGATAACAGGTATTAGGTTTTCTTCTGGCAAGTCTGAACACTTCACAGCTAGCCTATCTTGCTCTCTTAATTGGGCCTATAAAAACTCACCAGGCATCTCTTGGAGCCATTGAAATTCCCTCCACTTGTTCTTTACAGCTTTTCAGAGCCTAGATGGGAAAACAGCTACCAAACAGACTTGCTGAAAAGAATTTTAAGGTCTCATGTCTATATTTACAAACCTTGCAATCTGTGTGTATTCATTTATTTCAACACAAATGAAGTGAATAAATCAGGAGCTCCTTTGGGAAAAGAAAACCCACCATATTTGAGAGAAAAAGAACAAAATATGTGACTGAGGCAACTCCCAAATGTTCTCTATCGCTTTCCCAGCACCCCTCATGCACACCCTGCTTCCAAAAGAATTAACTGCATTCTCTGCACTCATTTAGAAGATAATACTACTCCACACTACAGCATTTCTCACATATATTAATGTCCTTTCTTTTGGTTTTGGCTTAGATGTCTGTATTCCTGGCTAGACTGTGAGTTCCTCCGACATAGAGATGATATATTATTGTTACCAGTACTGCGCTTATGCTAAGGCTGAGCAAATATTGGTTAAAATTGAATAGGAGACACAGAAAAAAGAGAAGGAAAAGAGAGAGCGGTATGAGAGCAAGGGAGAACCCAAGAGAGCGGTAAGAGAAATCTTTGGCTCTGGGCCACTGGGCAGGTGTAACATAGGTAGAAAACTACCCACAAGATGGCCTGGGAAGATGCAGAAAGTCTGAGGGGGGTCAAAGAAAAAAAGAGTGCTAAAAATACATTCCAAAAAATATTAATAAGGAGCAGCCTTTCCTAAAAGCATACTCCAAAATTTCTCTAGGATTGTCTTCCAAGTTTCTAATATACAGCCTGCAAATTTCATTATACATTTCTTGTGCAGAAAATGACAACTGTATCATTACACCTGGCTAAAAGTGACTGTAAACTGTACCCTAATTTCAGAGATGTGAAAAATAAACAAACAATAAAACCACCAGAAAACTATGAACAGAACCTAATAATCTTTTCAGTGATTCATAGATCCTAATACTCTTTCCGTGTTTTTTTTTTTTTCGGTACATGGGCCTCTCACTGTTGTGCCCTCTCCCGTTGCGGAGCACAGGCTCCGGACGCGCAGGCTCAGCGGCCATGGCTCACAGGCCCAGCCGCTCCACGGCATGTGGGATCTTCCCGGACCAGGGCACGAACCCGTGTCCCCTGCACCGGCAGGCGGACTCTCAACCACTGTGCAGGGAAGCCCTCCGTGATTGTTTTAATAATTTTGGATTTGAAGACTTTTGTGAGCATGTTTTCATTCTTCTTGGCCTTTTAAAAAAGTAGTTATTAGGTAACTTATTCCCCTAATTTCCTTCTCGATAGATCAGAAGTTCCCCAGTATAGTGTGACTCGAGGGGATATTTGTCAGGCCTCTCAGTCTGAGGTCCTGGGAGCTTGGGGGATTCTGAGTCGATGACAGTATTTTTTGATGACGCTGTTCCATGTACTAATCTTGTTAGATAAGTAGAACTACTTCAGTGTTTACTGAAGCAATTGGAATCAGTGCCCTACTTTTAGACTTGTGAGTCAGAAAGCTTGATGACCACCTGGAGAAGCACCTGGGAGCCCTCTCTTGGGTCCCATCCCTCCCCTTCATGGACTGTCTATCCGTTTTTAACAGGCACCCTCGGTGATCCTGAAGACCAGCCAATCTAGGAACCACAGTCTCATAAAAGCTGCCTTGTTGTGTCTGGCTGACTGGCAGGAATGAAATGGTAACTTTCTAAACTAGCTTTCCTAGATCTCTCCAAAAGTAGCAAGACAACGGGGTGATCTCTCAGGTCTACGCTGGACAAAAGATACTAGTGTTTTTCCTTGGCTTGTGGAGAGGACGGGAAAGGACGCTGAGATTCTAATCCCTGGTTTGGAGTATCACAGCCAATCACAATGAACAGTCATCTTTCATGACCGTGCATTTCCCAAGCATCCCTTTGGGAAGCTGGAGTCCCCAGCTGTCTGGGAAATGTAAAATCAGTCACTTTTGGCAAAGCTCAACACACCCGAGCATGGGAAACACAAATGAAAATAGAGAGACTCTTTTACTCACTAGATTGTTTGTCTGGTTACACATTTGCTCAGCACAGAAACAGAATCATCAAGATAGGGAGGACACAAGTGTGTAGTTATCTAGCTCAGGTTTGATGAAGGTAAGAGGAAACTTTAAGTCTCATGAGTGTCAGCATTTTCATCCTTTCAGCTTGATGTAAGGAGATCATATAAAGTAAGGTCCAAACAACAGGGACTACTTTACCTAAAATTACTTATCTTATTTTGCTCATAGGAGTTCACACTGGTTTTGAGAAGGAAGACTTTTCAATGCACTGGACATGGTGGGAACAACTTCCCTTTATTTTATTGTCCATTTGGGTGAGGGAACAGAGCCGCATGTATAGAGTCTTTCATCAAAGTCAATAAGTCAATCTGATTAAGCTTGAAATGAATTGTTGTAGATTGTTACTCTGTGAACATCTTTCTCTTCTGTTACTGAGAGTCTAAGTGACCAGTCGCCCCATCACTGTAAATGCCATTCTGCTTAATCCTAACATCTGTAATAAAACCAGTAAATAGCTGTTTGTTCGGATGTGTAGTCACAGGATGCTTATCTGTGGAAGAGGCTGAAGCCATTTGGTTGGAGATCGTTAATCCTTACTGTGTACTTCTTATTAGTGTTTTTAAACTCTGCCATATAAGGAAGAGTCTATGGGGCTAAGAAATTTCAGTCGCTCTGCACAACAGTGGTGGATGCTGAAACTGAGTTTGGAGCCCCTGTGTAAGAGTACTAGGTTTCATGCATGAGAAACCACAGTATCCAAGTGAAGACTAGAGGGAATCCGCTCATTGGCTGGACTCTACTCTCCCTACTCCGACCTCGTGAACACAAATATGAGTGTGAAAATCAAGAAAGGAAACTTTCCTTTAATACATCTGTCCTTCGAAAGAGCTGGTGTGGCACCAGGGATAAGACAGTTCCTTATGGGGTTCTCAAAACAGCACTAAAAACTGTAGGAGAAGAGGCAGTAATCATCAAAGAGGATGAGTGAGAACCTTGCCTTCTTGAAAAGGGCAAGAGAATGAATCATGCTATTTTGAAAAAACCCCAGAAAATATCTCTTTAGAGGTAACAATGTTCTTTTCTCTTCCCAAATGTTGAAGGACTTGGCAAAGAGAACCCTCTAATAAAAAACTGCCCTTATCTCAAAATAAAATGATCTTAGTGTACTGGTAAGATCAGCAAAATGTAAATTGTTCAGACGCAATACACAAACAGTTGATATCTTTGAATTGATATCTTTCGGACCCTTCTGAAATTTATTTCTAATATCATTTTCCAAAGGAGAGATGGCTTATGTTGCATGGTCTGCTAATGCTTGACCAGATGTCTGAGACTCAAGAGATGGAGGGCAAGGATTAAGGCTCAGTAGATGATGGCCAAGATTGCTTGTGTTCTTTAAAATAGCTAACATCTGCTCCATCCCAACAAGCTGGCATACAAGTCCAACAGGGAGTAAATATGAGAGCAATTAAAATGAACTACTGTGCATTAGGGAGGTTTGATTTACAGGAACAACTTCTGTGGGAGAAAATGGCTGTGGTTTAGGTAATGTTCACGTCTATGAAACTGAAGTAACCTAAATATAGCTTGATGTGTACAGCACATTCTTGGCTATGTTCTTCTGCTCTTAACTACATCAGTAAAGATGAATTCAGTGATTGCAATCAGGCATGGACTTACCCAGTGAAGGTCATAGTCAGGTCTTGCTCTTCCTTCACTGTCCTCACATAAAGCGAAAGCTTCCCTCCGAGCCTGGTAATACTCCTTCCGCAACTTCTGGATGCGGTCAGTGCTTCCGCTAATGGAACGGCCACTGCAGGACATAATCAGAGGACATAATCGGACAGTCACACAATGTACATCATCCTGGAAACTCGCTTTTTGATTTTTTTTTTTTTATCAAAGCAGCTGACATCCAAATTTGGAAGATTCAGTAATATCATACAGACATGCTAGGAGAACTGTGAAATCCCTGGTAATAAAAATAAATAAAAACCAGTCTTTATGTGCATATGTTTAGCTCCAAGGGTCAAAACGTCTAACTTGGGATTAATAAATGCCTTTTGAGTGAGAACTTAAGATAAGGTCCTGATCTTTAGAGCAATTAAAAGAGCCATCACCTTTTTCTTATAATCATATGTACAGAGTTTGGTTAAATTTTAATGTAGTAACTCATTTTCTCAAATAAGTGGTACCAACTTGAGACCAGTTGTTTGACCCGAAGGTTGGAGGTGATGCAGAGTTGGCAGGTGCCACTCTTCATTTTAATGACATGTGTGAATTTTTGGAGTGGGGCTGGAGTACATGTCATTATATGGGTGTGGGCAGGACATAGAGAAAGAGAAGAAGGTGGAAGCCATGTGAAGAAGTAAAAAGAAAACTAAAGAGCTGGTCATAGAACATACCATCTTGGTTAGTTGTCCAAGCTTTTCCTCTCTCTACTTAGCTACTTCTTCCTCTCAGGAATTACAGCTTCTCCAGTGACTTATCCGTTCAACCCCACACTAGTCAGCCAGTGGCTCCCTTTTAACTTGGATCTGTCACCATCAGTACCAACAGTACCAACATCACATGATACGATCAGGGCTAGGAAGCAAGAGGAGGATGCTAGGCAGGCCTCTACAGCTGATCAACTTGTTTGGTTCATCTGAGGCATAACTGAGTGCCCCATTGTGTCAGACCTTATGTTAAGACCTGGGGATCTTAAAACAAACAGAACTCGTTCACAAAAAGCACACAGTCTGGGAGGTGGGGGGCTGAAAGGGATACAGAGGACCACAATCCATGGCGACCAGTGCTGTAGGTGTGCACAGGGCCTTTGGGGACTCACACTGCTTAAGATTTAACAGGGTGAGAGCAGGGCCAAGGAAGGAGACCACAGAAGGCTCTACAGAGGAGGTGACACTTTAGCTGAGTCTTGAAGGATGCACAGGTGCTCAATAACTGGACAAGTGAGGTGAGGAAATTCCAGGTGGAGGGAAGGGCAATGCAAAGGACAGGAATGAGAAAGCACCCTGCTTTGGGGGAATGCAAGGAGGTCAGTTGGGCAAGCAGTGGTCCTCGGCTTCTTCTGTCCTGCCTCGTACCCATATTGGGTGATGAATGTTCCCTTCCTTCTCTCATTTGGGAAGCAAATTATAATAAAAAGGGAGTGCTGGTACTTTAGGGATATCCTGAACTTACTCTAATAAATGATGAAATATATCACTTGCAAATGTTGGTACTTTAACTCAATTTGTAACAATTAATCATAATGATACTCATATTTCATGGGTATGTGAGAATCACTGCTAGAGTATATACAGGGAATATGGGAGGAAACAGGGAAGAGAGACAGGTGAGACTGAGAAAAGTAGGTAGGGGTCCCATGGTGAAGACCTCTACATGCCAAAAACATCCCCAAGTATTACAGTTGAGCTTTAAGTTTAAATGAGATATCTGATAGAATGAGATATCTGAAAGCAGTAGAAAGAAGTCATCTACTATTTTGTTAAAACATTTAAAAATTATACTTAAACTATAAAAGAAAAGGGTGAGTAAACGTTTTTTGGAAGGAAAACGTTCTTCCCAAACTAGATTGTAAGTTAACTGAAAGCAGGACCACGTGTCTCAACATCCTCTGTACAAAGTTAGCACAGAGTCCTTGGCTTCCTACCTGCTCTACGGACACCAAGCAGCTTATGCTTCTGTTTAAGAAAAGACAAGTTCTTAGGGATCACATACCTTGATTTTTCTTCAATATGTATTTTTAAAACGTGCAAAGTAGTTCTAACTCTGTTTCCTGACTCTACTTTTTTTTTTTGAACAAAAGTTTTCCTCGAGAACTTGGAAAAGATAAAGGTAAGAAAAAAGTGGAACGTCTGATATGCTTTTCTGAACAACGGAAGGCAGGAAAGACAGCACAGCTCAATTCTGAACAGCTTCCCTCACTCTTGAGTGTTCTGAGCTAACTATGGGCCTGCATCCACTGTGCAGGCTTCTGCCCATTACATGCATGCATGAGCCGCGCTTAAACTCACCAGATGAGTTCAATCAACGTGGTGCAAACACAGCATACATAATCTATTAGTTTACCCAAAGAAACCGAAGCACTGAATTCAAGCAGAATGAAGTCATCAGTAATAAAGGAAAAAGAAAGAAACTGATAAGGGACTGTCTTAAAAATCCCCACAATTTTCCTACATTTGTGGGAAAAAATAATCATACTCAGACCGTAAACTATTCTTCCATATGCCGATAAATAAATACATTTAAAAATACGGGTTTGATCAGATTTCAGTTCTCAGATAGAAGGAATGGGGCAAGAATACAAAATCAGCTGTTTACGATTCAGAAAATCCCCTATGGCTGACAGGAACATGACTATTTACCCAGAGAAGAAATCTGACCTCAGAGAAAAACAGGAAAAAAAGTCTAGAAATTCATGGACCATCTAAGTGCAAAACATTCTCCCTTGTGTGAATATTTTAAAGAAGTTATGGGGCACCGTGCAAACCTTTCATGATAAGCCAGGATTACATCGCAACATTCTCTCTTTTTTTCTCTCTCTCTAACCCTCACTCTACTGCTAGTAACTGTATCAGATTTTTTCCCAGGTAGTTGGTTTATATAATACAATTAGGAATAGAAAATTCTGATTTCATCTCTCAGCTCTTCTGTGCAGATAACACACACAGGTTTACCATCAAATCAATAAAAATTAAAAAAAATAATAAAACAAAAAACAACACAGCTATTGTAACCAAAGCAGTTAACTGATTCCATTTTGTGTTGAAGAGGCAGAAATTTGAAGAGGAACATAAAAATGCCTTTGTCATAAAGCAGCAATAATCATAATAGTCATAATTTATGGAACATTTATACAGCCAATATATTGATACAGACTTTTAGTTACTCCACTTCCTGCTCAGAGCAGACATCACTAATCACTTACGGCGTTCCTTCCCCATAATCCTAGACATGGCCTTAGGATCCTTCTTAACCCAGAACTTCAGAAAGCTACTACCAATCTATAGGAGCTGGAACTTGAGTTGAGTTACATAATTGCTGTGTAATGGGTGTTGTAAATACTTCAGAATCACAGAAGAATACTTAAAGGTAGCTTTTATTGTTTTGCTCCATAGACATGAGGAAGCTGAGGGTCATGGCTAATAGATGTGCAAGGTCTAACTTCAAAGAAGGCTCTTTCCACCACTGCTTACTACCTTTCAACCTGCATCTCCTCCTTCATCTCATTTATATCTTAAAGACTAGGTCTTCTAACAACATACTGGACCAGAATGGAAGTTAAGGCCAGCCTTGAGGAGTTACTTTCTGAGGACTCCTGTTTTTCCTCCCTCTATTTACATGTTAATGGTTCCATTCTCCTGGCTTTATGGAACTTAGTAGTAGAGCTGCTAAGAATTTTGCCTGATAGTTTCAGAAGCAACATTAGCTTATGATGTAACTCACATACTCTTGCAATCATATAAAATCTGGTAAAGTATCAATAATCCCATCTCCAAGTTAGTAGTTAGAAAATTAGGCTTACTGTATTATTTGTTCACTGGATAAGGTAAAGGTTAGCCATTCTTACCAAAAAAGTTCCTATTATAGCTGTATCCATATGTAGGTGAACGCCACTCCTGCACTTCCAATGTGCTGAAATTTTATTTTAAATTAATTCAAGCGGTATAACAAAACAGATTTATATTGCAGTGATTTCTTGTCAATTATACTGCCTACGCCTTTAAAGGCAGATGTATAGTTAGATAGGCTTTTAACACTTTAAAGCTGGAAAGAGTTTAAAGTTGCAATGAAATTCAGAAACCATGTCATTTTCTTCATCGTCACCTATAGTAATATATCCCCAAATGCAATACACACCACAGTAAGGTATTATCTGCTCCTTTGGAATCTAACCTTATTCTTCCTAGTTCATAATTACCTCAATTGAAATACATTTTAAAATGAGCGTTCATTTGTGCATGCCATAGTCTCCTCCCATTACTACAACAGGCTGGAGAAAAGAAACTAACATTGATTAAGCTCCTATGACGCCTTAAGTATAATATTTATGCTTTACATACTTCATCTCATTTAATCCCCCAATTTTTGAGGATGACATTGTTATTAACATTTCACAAATGAGCACGCTGAGGCTCAGATAAGTAGCCCAATTGGTGAGTGGCGGACCAGGAGATGTGTGACTCCAAAGCCAGTGTTATTTTGACCATACCTTGCTGCCTTGTGAGAACTGCATTAAAATGCAGTGGCATTTTGCAGCAGCAGTGCACAGGCATCTCAAGACAGAGGGAATTTAGCATGTATAGCCATACCTTTTGATATTCTTTTATTTGCACAGACCTTTGTAATAAAAATACAAATTGAAGCAGCTAAAGTAATAGAAAGACATGCAATGAAGTCTGTATTCATTAAAGAATGATGCTGGAGCAATTGCAGACAGAGATTTCTGGGTAATTAATATTACATCTCTAATAAGCTCATGTGGGAAACCGGCATAAAACTGAATGGGGTGCAAAAGAGACTCAACCTATGACAAAGAACCCACATGAAGGAGAAAGAAACTCTGGATTAGGACCAGGACGGAGAGGCAGCCAGGACTGCTGCTGGTAAAGCTCACCACTGGCTGAACTAGAGGGAGCTAGTCACTGCCAGCAAACCACTGTCCGACTTGTGAATTCACCTGCCATGACTTTGCATGTATGCCTAAGTGGGCACGCATATAAATAATGTACCCTAACTATGATTAAATTGTACACAGTTAATTCCAAAGAGCTGTGTCATTTTCAGATAGCCTCAAGTCATGTAACT